GCAGGCTCCAGGCTCCGAGCTGTCAGCACAGAGCCCGAGGTGGGTGTCGAACCCACGAACCGCCAGATCGTGACCTGAGCCGAAGTCGGACACCCAACTGATTGAGCCACCCAGGCGCCCCTTGAACGTTATTGACAGAGTTCATGTCAGCCTTGGGAAATGCTTATATAAATGATGTCAAGGGGAAAGTGGGATTCAAAACGCTTTATACATCACGATTTCAGCTGCCTAGAAGCATAGGATATGCAGAAAACATGACTAAATTCGAACAGCAATGGCCTCCGAATACCGGGATTTTGGTTTCTCGCTGCTTCCGTCTTAACGTTTTTCCAAATTGCCTACCAGAGCCCCGCACGGCTTCTCGGATCGGAAAAGATACAAAAGTGGTCCTAACAGCAATCATTGTAACAATAACAGTGAGAACGCGCTCTTACTTGCTTGATGAAGACCAGGAGCAGCAGGCCGAGGACCGGGGGAGAGCGCTTCCCGGAGGCGGGGAGAGGCCTGGCCCCCCGGGCAACGGGGGTGCCCATGGGCAGCACGTGGACTCCAGGTGGGGGACCCCGCTTCCTTCTCCGGGGCGCCGCCCCGCTCGGTGCCGGCCTCCCCTTCCTTGCCGCGACTTCACAAGTGCGGGCACGCTTCTAGAAAGGTCCGAGATGTACCACAGGCGGCCTCCCGCTGCATTCTTCCCTGCACGGGGCGGGGAGGGGGGGAATGTTTGCACAAACCCAGTGCGCGCACGCGGGGAGGAGAGCCTCCGAACCGGTCTAGAGACACCTACCGAATCTGCAGGGTTTCTCAGAAGCCGGCGGCTCATCCCCCGCCCCGGCCCCCACCCCGAGGGCAGGGAGATTTTTCCCAGACCTTCCCCAAGTCGGCTGTGCTCCCAGGGACTTCCTCAGCAGAGGCCGCCCCGGGAGGAAAAGCCAGGCGGGCAATGGGCTCCGCTTCCCAAGCCCCCGCTCAGCGCACAAGGCCACCTCTGGTTCCAGCTGCCGCTCAGCAGCACAGGGTGGGCCCGGTTCCAGCTGTGCGGTGGGCGTCTTGGTGAGGGGGTTGCGTTTCTTACTAAGGCAGCAGCTCGTCCTGGCCGCGAGGGCAGGGTCTCCTCCTGGGGGGCCCCGTCTATGTTAACACTTCCAGGGAGAGCTCAGGTCCGGACCCAGGTCCTGAAGCAAAGCCCCCAGTGGGGGACCCGGGCCCCGTCTACACCAGAGCACAAGGACGAGGGGAAAAGGCAACTAACATGTTTGTAGTTTCACACACGTGCATTTGCACACGAGCTTTCGGCCCACCGCCTGCTTCCTTTGCCCTCACGATGGTCCGGTGAGGGCGTGATCATTTCCCCACTTGACAGATGAGCAGGTGAGGTCCAGAGAGGTTAGGATGCTTGCTCAAGGCCACACAGCAGTAAATGGGAGAGCCGGGGTTACCCAGAATCACCTGCCACGGTTACTTGGCCACGTGCTCTATCTCACCTTAGGTCTGCAGGCCTTGTTCCTTTGTGCTGGCGGGTTCCTCGCGGGGCCTCTGAAAGGCTCCATTCGGCCCTTCTCACCTCACCTCTCCCCGTCCAGCCCAGAGAGGCCCAGGAGGAAGAGGTCCTGACTGGATGAAACGCAGTCTGCAAGAGACAAAAAGATGGTGTTTTCATTTAGTTTACTCTTGCTTTTCTCTCCATTCAAGTTCGAACAGGGGGGCTCACCTGCGCTCACTTATCTGAGTAAATGATTGCTGAACCGTGGGGGAGAAACAAGCAAACATCGCTTAATAGAAATCCTTGCAGATCTTGGGGCTCCCGGGGGCTCAGTCGGTTGAGCTTCCGACTCATGACCTCAGCTCAGGTCTCGATCTCATGGTTCGGGGGTTCAAGCCCCCACGTGGGGCTCTTTGCTGGAAGCACAGAGCCTGCTGGGGATTCTCTCTCTCTCTGCCCCTCCCCTACTTGCATTTTCTTTCTCTCTCTCTCAAAATAAATAAATACACTAAAAAAAAAATTAATTAAAAAAAAAAAGAACAAGCATCCTTTTTTCCCTGAAGGGACAGGAGTCGGGGCCACGCACGAGCTCCTGGCTGCTGGACAGATGCCATCTAGTGATGAAACGTGGTAACTCCTCTTCCCCAAGACACAGGTGGCCAACCCCACAAATGCAGGGCTCACAGGAGGAGCCAGCAGGAGGCAGAGAGTGACAGTGACCCACAGGGCACTGCCCTTCTCCCCTGCCCGCCCAGCCCGGTGATTCTCTGGTACATCTGGGGGTACATCTGAGGGGGTCATACAGTCTAGGACCCGTGTGTTTCCACGTAGGACCACGTGGAATCTTCTGTGATGTTTTTCCTGCTCTTATTCCTGCATCAGTGTCCTCTGCCCGAGAAGTGACTGTAGTGTCCTCTGTGTCACCACTCCCGGAGAGCCCCCATGACAAGGACAGGACTGAGGGTGCCAACAGGTGTGACTGCCGGCTTTGGAGACCCCAGGACGGTGCTGGGTGCCACACCCCTGCTCTACACAGCCCCGAGGCCCCAGAGGAGGCTGCCTGAACCTTGAGTCTCTCCGTCCCCGAAGCAGGACGTTGTCTTTGGCGGTCCCTGTCTCTGTAGGGTTGGGCACGGAGCAGGCTAGGGCAGGCTGCAGGATTCCAAATTTCTGGAACCCAACCCTGAGCACCCCAATGGATGCAAAAGGCAAGCGGGGGGTGGTCCAGACTCACCCAGACACCTGCCCATACGCCCCTGGTCTTCATCAAGCACCAACCTCCTCCATACAAACCAAAGTGTGGAAGCAACCCAAGTGTCTGTGGACAGATCAACAAACAAAACATGGTCTATCCACACCAGGGATGCCACAGAACCTTCCAAAGGAAGGAAATTCTGGGGGCGCCTGGGGGGGCTCAGTTGGTGGAATGTGCAACTTTTGATCTTGGGGTTGTGAGTTTGAGCCCCACGTTTGATATAGAGATGACTTAAAAATATCTGGGATGCCTTGGGGGGGCTCAGTCGGTTGAGCGTCCGACTCTTGGTTTCGACTCAGGTTATGATCTCACGGTTTGTGAGTTCGAGCCCCTACATTGGGCTCTGTGCTCACAGCGTGAAGCCCGCTTGGGATTCTGTTTCTCTCTCTCTCTGCCCCTCCCCCATTCACTATCTCTCTAAAGAAATAAAAGGAAACTTAAAAAATACATAAAAACAAAGGAAGGAAACTCTGACACCCGCTATGACACAGGTGAACTGTGAGGACATTACACTGAGTGAAAGAAGCCGGTCAGGAAGAGAGGGTACTGCATGACCCCACCTGTGTGAGGTCCCCGGAGTGGCCCGGTTGGTAGAGACAGGAAGTGGAGTGGCGGGTGCCGGGCCGGGGACAGGGAAGGGGAGCTCCGCCCCCGGGGTCCCAAGATGAAGAGGGGACTAGAGACTGGGGCACAGCAGTATGAAAGTAGAAAATGGTCACCATGGTGAATTTTGTCTTGTGCGTATTTTACCCCGGGTTTAAAAAGACAAGAACAGAGCCGGCATCGTCCTACACACCCACACCCTGGAGAGGGTGGGGGCGCGAACGCAGCTGATGGGAACACGTCGGCTTCGTGCTTTCTTTCTCCCGCGGCTTCTCAGGCCACAGGCGCGCACACGGGCGTCACACGCTGGGGGGGGGCCCGGGGATGGGAGAGAAGCCCGTAAGGGTGCCAGATGGCAGGGCTGAGAGGGGCGGGCAGCACGCGGAGGCGGGGAGGCGGCCCGCTGCTCATCCCGAGGCCGCACGCCTCCTCCAGCCATGGACGGGGCCGGGAGACAGCAGGTGCACGCCCTACTGCCCGTCTGCCTCGCCCTGGCCTTCTCCCTCGCCGCCCTGGGCAGCAGCCACTGGTGCGAGGGGACCCGCAGGGTGGCAAAGCCTCTGTGCCAGGACCATCCGGGAGGGCTAGGATGCATTCATCTCAACAGGGGCCACGGCGGTGGCAGGAGGGACGACGAGAGCCAGGCCGTCCAGTACATTTGGGAGACGGGAGACGACAGGTTCATCCAGAGCCGGTTCCACGTGGGGCTCTGGCAGTCCTGTGAGGAAAACCTTGGCAGCGCAGGTGAGCGAGCGTGGCCGCAGGTGCGGGGGGTGGGGGCAACAGAGGCAGGGGCTCGGGAGCCAGGCTGCTTGGGTTTGAATCCCAGTGCTGCCGCTGACAGCCTCTGTATCCTTGGGTGAGCTTCTTCACCTCTCTGGGCCTCCGTTTTCTCATCTGTGAAATAGGATGACAGCAGTATGTCAGCAAGAATTATTATAAGGTGTAAATGACTGGCTTCCCTGCCTTGCAACAGTGCCTGATGTGGGGTGTTTGTAAGAATGCGCTTTGACCATTTGCTAGTGTCTACCCAATCCCCCGAGAACCCAAAGTGGCCCCGTCTGACCCTAAACTGCATCCTTGCGCTTTTTAGGGGGTCTTGAAATGTCAGGTTCTCAGGGGCACCTGGGGGGCTCCATCAGTTAAGCGTCCAACTCTTGATTTCAGCTCAGGTCATGATCTCACGGTTCGTGGGTTCAAGCCCCTCATCGGGCCCCACACTGATAATGTGGAGCCTTCTTGGGATTCTTTCTGTCTGCCCCTTACTCTATCTCTCCCTCAAAATAAATAAATAAACTTAAAAATAAAATTTAAAAACTTACAAAAAAAAAGAAATGGCAAGTTCTCTTGGAAAATTGACTTTTATCATCATCGGTGGGAAAGGATCCTCCCTCTTGGGGGGCACCTTCAAGAAGTAAGAATCCTTAACAAGCTAGACCTTTGTCTCTGGAAATAACCCTGCAGAGTAGGTATTATTTCCTCAGCTCACAAGTGAGGAAACTGAGGCTCAGAGTTTCAGGTCATATGGCTGGCGAGCCCAACCCTGCTTTTGCCATATTACTCAGCCCCGGTTCCATATCTTTTGAACTTCTGCCAGTTGGTAAGGGAAATGGGAGAGGAAGACAAGAGAGAAGAGGGAAGGGAATGGTTGGTATTTGGAACACCTATTTCAGAAAAAATTTTTTTTGTTTTACATCCTAAGGAACTAAGGAGGGAGGAGCTGAACTCTGCAGTGTCATACAGCCTGAGAGCAAACCCAAGTCCATGCTTGGGGCCACAATGCTCTGCCCTTCCTGCTAGAAAAGCACACCCGTCAAGGTGGAAAGGAGAGGACCTCCCCCCCTTTTTTCTCTTGACCTCAGGCTTAACACATTAAATTTCTTGACCAGCTTTTTGTTTTCCCTGGAGTTTCTAATTGCCTTTTTTTCATCCTTATAGCATTAGTGGTTTCTTCTGAGGTCTAAGTAAAAGGCTCCAAGTAGGAACCCTCTCAATGCTGCTTACCCCTCTCCATCCTGCCCCACTGGGGGCCACCAGTGCCTAGTCTTACCCTTCCATGTGTCCCCGTCAGTACATATGGCCTTTGCTTTAAGTGTGGTACACACGATACAATAGTACCTAGAGCTAAAGCTACTGGAAGGGCCTCCTGCCCCTCTCCTCTGGGGGGTGCCACTATCTTCCTATATGTCCTCTCT